CTGCGTCCCCCGCTGCCGCCGCTGCCCCCGCTACCGCCGCTGCCTGCTGGCGTCGCCTCGCGCCGTGCCCGGCCGCTGCTGCCGCTACAGCCGCTCCCGGACGGACGACGGTTACAGCTCGGCCGATCGCGCCGCCGCCACCACCGCTGCGCGCGCAGCCAGACCAGCTCCCGCCGCCGCCGCCGCCCCTCAGGGGGCGCTGCGGGGCGCGGCGCGCGCGGCGCGGCCACGCCCTCGGAACGATGATTGGCTACCGGCGGCTCGCGGCGGTTGGCCCCGCCCACTCTGCCTACGGAGCTTTGACCCACTGCCCTGGGCGCCTCCCGCGCTCCGCCTCCGCGTGGTTTGCTGCGCTCGGCGCTGGGGGCGACGGAAGGCGCATACGTGTGACCGGTGCGGGGTGGGGGTAGCGGAGTGGCGAACGTGGCCGGGGGAAGCGCCCGCCCACGCCGCGACTCGCCCATCCGCACCTGGGTCTAAGTTACTGCTTCTGGCCACCCAGTGACCCGCAAGGTCGCGGGCGGATTCCGGATCCCGGGAGGCGCCTCGAGCCAGATCCCGCTGGGACTGGGACTGGGCGGCAACCGAGACCTGAGCTCGGGGATTTCCAGCTCAGAAGTGGGTAACCGAGTACCTTATACTTGGCTGCCCTTCCTGGAGGCTTCGAACGGCGTGTACATCTCCGCAAAGGGTCACTCTGCCTTGCTCTCCAGACCCCTACCCGGCTAGCAATACACAGATTCTTTACACACGGAAATGCAGAATTAAAGGACAAGTTTTTTACCTAGGTATTCTCAACTATCGAACGGAAGTAATACCGTCTTCACAGATACTCGTCAGAACCTATATAAAGTATGAAGGATGAGCGTGATAAAAAAAAAAAAAATAAAACAGGCGGTGATGGCATACGCCTTTAATCCCTAGAAGTTCAGGGCCAGCTGGTCTACAGACCTGGTTAAATTAAGAAAAAGTTCTGGAATTGGAACTGGGAATATAACTCTGGTAAAAGCTTCCTTTGAGCCGGGCAGTGGTGACACATGCCTTTAATCCCAGCACTTGGGAGGCAGAGGCAGGCGGATTTCTGAGTTCGAGGCCAGCCTGATCTACAGAGTGAGTTGCAGGACAGCAACTACAGCAGGGCTACACAGAGAAACCCTGTCTTGAAAGACCAAAAAAAAAAAAAAAAGAAAAGAAAAGAAAGAAAAGAAAAAGGCTTCCCTTGCATGTGAGACGCTAAATTCGATTCTTGATAACCTCAAAAAAAAAAAAAGTTTGAGTTGGATGTCAAGATTGTCTATTTAATACATGCCCATTTTAACAATTTTGAAGATTATATTAGAGATTCTCTAAGGGAAAGAGTTTTGTTTTGGGGTTTTTTGTTTTGTTTTGTTTTTTGGGGATGTTTTTGTTTTTGTTTTTCCTTTTGCATTTGGAACATGGCCAGAAATGTTAAGCCAGCTCATGCATCCTTAGTTCTAGTTTGGAAAATGTGGTTACCCAGTGAGTTGGGAGACTGGTTTGGGCCACGGCCAAAAGGAACAGGAAAAGGCTCTGGAGGCTGGCCTGAGACGTGGGTTAGATTTCCCCCAAGATGGGGAGTGAGCAGAAAGGTGTGCACTCACTCTCCAGCTTGGAACTCTCACTCACCCAAGATGGACACTTATTTACAAGGAAATTAAACCGCCCCTTGAGCTGTCTCTCTCCAGCGCGTTCATCCTGCCCTTGCCCTGTGAGGAAATGCAGTGGTCAGTGATCATTAGCCCTTTCCCACAAGGCAGACCTGGAGCATCGCTAGAATGCTTCTCCCGTCTAGAAGCTGTCCGTTAGAACTTAGTTTTAAAATGAAAGATCTAATGACTCAGCCTCCTCCAGCCACAGCGCAGAACTCAGGAGGACCGGGTATTTTAGGGCAAGGCTGCGCAGCCTTGCTGTGTGGGAGTTAAAAGGCCTTGAGGAGCAAGAGAGACTGCAGATTAGAATCAAGGCCCCTGGCAGAGGGTGTGAAAACTGCCAGCATTATTCTCCCAGTCTTTAGTCAGGCAGTGTTTTCTCCAAGGACAGACTGGAGAGGAAAAACTAGCCAACCCGGCAGAACTTTTGCTGCATTTCCTGGTTACAGATGCTTCCTTTATGGCCTCAAAACATCTTATTATGGACCAGGCGGTGGTGGCGGTGGTGGCGGTGGTGGCGCACGCCATTAATCCCAGCACTTGGGTGGCAGAGGCAGGCCTATTTCTGAGTTCGAGGCCAGCCTGGTCTACAGAGTGAGCTCCAGGACAGCCAGGGCTACACAGAGAAACCGTGTCTCGAAAAACAAAACAAGCAATACTATCCTACCATAGTACATACAACATGCTATAAATGCCTGTTTTCATGTTCTCTTCTCCTGGACGGGTCTACTAGGCAGACTAGTAGAGAGAGCTGAACAAATGAATTTCCCACCATCCATCTGGCTCTCAGCTCTCAGCTTGGCCCTAAAATATCAGTAAATAACATAACAGCATGAGGATAACAATAACACCCACACTAATGGCCATTTTTAAAAGCATCTACTCTATTCCAAGCTCTGGGCAAGGTGCTTTTAAATAAATTACCGGATTTACGTTTCTAAATGACCCTGTGAAGGAGGTATTATTAACTCATTTTAAAAGAGAATAGAGGCTTAGAGAAATGAACCGTCAGAAACAGAACTTGGCCCAGGTTTGTCTGCCTCTGGGGCCCAGATAATCGTGTTAGTCTCTGGCTTCTGTCACTAATTGGTGTCCCTCAGAGTAGGCTGGAAAGCCTTCTGAGACCTCAGGCACTCACCTCTAAGAGACCACGGGGTCACCATCACTTTACCTTACCTGTAGGCCAGTGAAGAGGTATTCTAGCCTCAAATCTAGTTTTTCCAGAGAAGGTTACAAGGCAGTTTTACTGCCTCTTCACCATAAACAGATCGGGAACTGGGCTGCAGGTGCCTTATTAAAGGCAAACCACCCTTGGCAGTGAGTTTCACACATAAGTACCCTGAGTTTATCCAGGGTCATTGCTGAAACAGTCCAAGTGCCATTAGCTTATTAATCCTCCCAGCACCCCTGTGAGGCTAAGCTGGCTGGATTCCTGGCTCGTTTTCCAGAGCATGATCTCCTTGGAAGCAGAAGCTGTGCGGGCCTGCCATACACAGCAGTACCAAAGAAGTAATGGGGGTATGGCAGAGAAACTGAGGTGCTAAGGTTGTGTGAGACACTGCCCAGGTCCCTGGTTCCCATTCTATGGGTTTATGCTCTCTTACTTGGTGTCATCATGTGGCCACAATGTTGCTATGTAACCTTGTGTCCCAGTTAGATTTTTTTTTTCTTTTCAACTTGGAACAAGCCAGAGTTATTTGGGAAGAGAGAACATTAGTTCAGAAGATGCCACCATTAGAATGGCCCCTAAACAAGCCTGTAGGGCAGTTTCTTGATTAATGATTGATGTGGGAGGGCCTGGACCACTATGGGTAGCGCCAACCCATGGACAGATGGTCCTAGGATAACAAGCTGAACAAGCCACGAGATGCAATAGAAGGGATCAATATGCTTCAGGATACCCCAAGACTAAGTTTTCAGCACCAAGGGGATTCATTGGCCCCAGAGAGACAAGCGTCGGGGAATGAGAGAGGAAGACAGGAGATAGAGGATGAGGGAGAAGGTGGAAGGTGTGTGTGTGTGTGTGTGTGGTGGCGGGCAACACAGGATAGGATGGATGACATGACGAAGGACTGCCTCTGGATGGAGAAGAAACAGACGTGGCCCATAGGCCAATGGCAGTTCATAAAGGTACAAGGGGAAAACCCATGTTAGGCTGAGGTGTTTAATTTAATTAGCATGTTAATTAGGTGAGCCAAAGGGGGCTTTTGATTGGGGAATTCAATGCTTTGATAGCTGGACCTAGGCAGTCAGCCTCAGGAGGAGGAGGTGGATAAACAAGAAATAAGGAGATAGACCTTGATGTTTAGTTTTAGGAATGTGATCTAACGGTTTTTAACAAGGCAAAGGGAATGAGGGAGAAGGGCAAGGCCTGCCAGAGCCATGTTTGCCATGCTTTTGCTGGCTAGAGTCCCTTCAAGCAAGCCAGTAGTAAGTAACCTCCCCTATTCCCTCTTCTTCGGTTCCTGCCCTGTCTTCCCTTTGAGATGAGTTATAAATTGAAAGGTGGCCGGGCAGTGGTGGCGCACTCCTTTGATCCCAGCACTTGGAAGGCAGAGGCCGGCCGATTTCTGAGTTTGAGGCCAGCCTGGTTTACAGCATGAGTTAAAGGACAGCCAGGGCTACACAGAGAAACCCTGTCTCAAAAAATAAATAAATAAAATTGAAAGGTGAAGTGAATCCTTTCCTCTCCGGGGTTCCTTTTTGTCACAGTGTCTATCACAGCAATAGCAGACTCCTTAGAACCTTATTTCAAGATTCAGAGTCTCTGTTTCCCTTCTATAAAATGAAAAGTTGACGCTAAGAAGCTAGCCCAGGAAGTATGAAGCACTTGCCTCAAGTTTGTGGGCCTGAAGTCAAGTCCCAGAACTCACTTGAAAAAGAGAAAGCAAAACAAAAAACAAAACAAACAAACAAACAAAAAAAAAAAAAAAACAGGTGTGCTGATGAGCACTTGAAATCTGAGCCCTGAGGAAGTAGAGACAGGTGTATCCTGAGGCTCCCTGACTAACCTGACTAGCCCAGTGAGAGAGAGCTCCAGGCCATCGAGAGACCCTGACTCAAAAAAGATAAGGCACCCAGGTATAACGCAACACCTTTAAATCCCAGCACTTGGGATGCAGAGGCAGGCAGATCTCTGTGAGTTTGAGGCCAGTCTGGTCTACATAGTGAGTTCTAGGACAGGCAAAGCTAGTGAGACCCTATCTTCAACACACACCACAATGACAAGATGGCTGGCTCTTAAGGAATGACATTTAAGGTTGCCCTCTGGCCTCTATGCTCAGCAGGACACACACAAAATGAAAAGATAACTTTTCTCCAGGCAGTGGTGGCACACTCCTTTAATCCAAGCACTTGGGTGGAAGAGGCAGGTGGATGTCTGAATTCAAGGCCAGCCCAATCTATAGAGTGCGTTCCAGGACAATCTGAGCTACACAGAGAAACCCTGCCTCAAAAAAACAAAAAAACCCAAAATAATGTACGGTTGTGACAGGTCCCGTGTCTGCTCCACCACAGGGCTCAGGCGCTTGAAGAGATGGGACTCAGTAGTTTGACCACGCTTACCCCATGCAGTTACCAGGCAGACACCACTCTGGGGGTGGGGAAACATAGTCTGAGGTATGGGACAGCCTGAGCTGGCTCAAAGATCCCTGGGCCTGAGAAGAGGCCGGGCCTGTCTAGTTCTCAGGCTCTCAGACATCCAGGTGCTGTTCAGGAGCTGTGGAAAAGCTGAGAATGGAGTGTGGGCTGGATCTAGCCTGGGGCGGGGGCCAGGGTGCATAACCAGGAGCTCC